GTCTAAGGTGGACTGGGTAGTCACCTCACCGTATTCCACTGAGTTTGTGGCGCCGGTGAGGGAGACAAATGAGAATGATGCCACTTGGACAACTAAAGAAAGGGATTTTGAATCCTAAAAGATGTCCTTTGAGTTTTGAGCATAGGAAGTGGGTCACTGCCAACAAAAAATATTTGGCTGTGATAAAGAACATGATTGAACCTACAATTGTGGGCTCAATCCTAGAGTGTGACACGGTCACCACATACCTCTATAGAATAAAGAGTCAGTTCACTAGCACTTCAAAGACATATGCTACCCAGCTGATAAAGCAGCTGGTGACAGAGTGTTACTCTGAAAATGGTAGCATAAGAGAGCTCACGATGCGTTGTTAAAATTATGGCACTATCATTTAGGCCATATTTCGAGGGGGAGAATAGAATGATATTCTTCCTCCATTAGAGCTCTCAGATTAAGAACAATGCAGGGAATGCATAAAAGAAAAGTATGTAAAGAAGATTAAGAAAGATGCCAAACGAAATGCAGGAATTTTATAGATTATTCACACAGACATCTGTGGCCAGTTTCCTATAAAGAGTATGGATGGAAATGATTCGTTCATAACATTCACAGATGATTACTCCTGTTATGTCTACATTTATCCAATTAAAGAAAGAACATAAGCATTGGATAAATATAGATATTTAAGGAAAAAGTTGAAATCCAACGCAATTTAAAGAGAAAGATAGTCTGGTCTGACCGTGGGGGAGTACTACGGTCGGCATACCCTAAAAGAATGGCATAGTATCCCAGTATTCTACACCGGGTGAACCTCAGCAGAATAGAGTAACTAAAAGAATCAATCGTACCCTGATGGATATGGTGGACAATATGATAAGTTACTCCACCTTACAGTTGAGCCTGTAGATGGAGGCGTTAAAAAGCCCATTTATATTCTCAAAAGAGTACCAAGTAAGTCGGTGTCCAAAACACCGTATGAGTTGTGGATAGAAAGAGTGCTCTCACTAAACCACTTGAGTGTGTGGGGGGGGGGAGCCCTGCTGAGGCTAAAGTATTTAACCCAAACATTAAAAAGTTAGATCCCAAAACAGTAAGTTGCCATTTCATTGGCTACATAGAAAAGTCAAAAGATTTTTGTTTTCTACTGTCTAGAAAGACATACAAAGTTTGTGGAAACGAGACACACAGCCGTCCTAAAGGATGAATTGATGAGGGGGAGCATGGTAGCTCAAAAAATTAACCTTGAAGTGAAGCGGGTGTATGTGCCCACTCCAATGATTCATGAGCCAATTTTCTCACTACCTGCTGTCGCTGCACCGACAGTGCTAGATACTGTGGTGCCAGCACATGTTGTTATCCCACCTATGGCAACAATGAATGACGATGAGGAACCTGTTCTTCAGGATCCTATAGAACCTATTGCCACACATGAGGGGGAGCAACAATAGTCTCAAACAGAAGATGTGCCAAATGTGGAGGCCTCTAGAAGGTCTCAAAGAGTTAGAAAATCAGCTATTCATGCTGATTATGAAGTGTACAACACTGAGTAATTTCAAATGGAGGATGGTCCCACCTCATTTAAAGAAGACATGAGAAGTGATCATTCATCAAAATGGCTTGAGGCCATGGAAGATGAAATAAAATCAATAAATGTCAATAAAGTTTGGGATTTGGAAATAATTCCTAAAGGAGCTAAAATAGTAGGTTGTAAATGGGTCTACAAAACAAAACTTGACTCTCAAGGGAATATAGAAAAATATAAAGTGCGACTTGTGGCAAAAGGCTGTATGCAAAGAGAAGGGATTGATTACAATAAGACCTTTTCTCCAGTCTCATGTAATGTTTCCTTTAGAATCATAATGGCATTAGTGGCACATTACGATTGAGAATTACATCAGATGGATGTAAAGACGGCATTTCTCAACGGAGACTTGGAGGAAAATATTTACATGGCACAACCAAAAGGTTTTGTCATGGAAAGAAAGAATGAATGGAATGCCGCCTAAAGAAATCAATTTATGGATTAAAATAAGCTTCATGACAGTGGTACTTAAAGTTTGATCAGACAATAAAGTATTTTGGGTTTAAAGAGAATATAGAGGACAATTGTGTCAATACAAAGTTTAAGAATGAGAAGTTTATCTTCCTTGTCCTGTATGTAGATGATATCTTACTTGCTAGTAGTGATGTCAGTCTACTACTGGAGACAAAGAAATTTGATATCAAATATCTTGACGAAGCCTCGTTCGTTCTAGGGATCGAGATTCACCGAGATAGAAGAAAAAGGGTATAAGGACTGTCACAAAAGGCATACATGGAAAAGATCTTAAAGAAATTCAGAATGCACAAATGTAGTCCCTCACCTGCTCCTATAGTCAAGGGCGACAGATATGGGGATTTTCAATGCCCCATGAACCAATATGAGCTCAATCGATAAAGTGAAAGTGGTTCCATATGCTTCAGCTGTCGAAATCTTGCAACATGCTCAAGTATGTACGCGCCCTGACTTGGCATTTGTTACCGGGTTTTACTTGGCAGATTCCAGAGCAATTCTGGAATAGAAAACTGAAACTAGGAAAGAAAGTCTTGCATTATTTGCAAGGAACGAAAGGCCTCATGATGACATATAGAAGATCTGATTCACTCCACATGGTGGGATATTCAGATTTTGATTATGCGAGAGTGAATACATATCCAGACGTGGATTTTCTATCATCTCGCAAAGGGGAGCTATTTCATGGAAAAGCTCTAAGCAAACTGTCACTACATCGTCCACAGTGTATGACGGTTTATAGCGTGTTATGAGGCAACGGGCAGGTGAACTGACTAAAGAAGTTCATACCCAGTTTGAAGGTGGTTGATGGCATCTATAGACCACTTAAGTTATACTGCGATTATAATCTAGCAGTACAGTATGCTCACAACATAAGTCAAGTGGTACTGCCAAACATATTGACATAAAGTATTATGTTGTGAAAGATAAAGTCCGGGATCAAGTAATAAGTCTTGAGCATATAAGTACAGAAAGGATGCTCGCGGATCCGCTTACAAAAGGCTTACCACCCAACATGTTCAGAGAACATGGTGTTCAGAGAACATGTAGCTAGCATGGGTTTAAGGGAAGCCTAAAATTCCTGGACAAAAGAAGGCCCAAAGATTAGTATCTATTTCAGAACAGAGTAGTGTGTTGTAACTGTTAAATCTATCGGCAATGGACCGTGACGATGAGACATGCTCTATGCACTAATCTGTAATGGAATAAACAAAAGTAAATGATATGAATTGAAAGATGGAATGAGATCAAGGGGGAGAATGTTAGTTGATCTCCACTAATAGGCCCAACGGCCTATTGTGCCCTTGTCTCTGCTCTCTAATCGGGGGAGCCCAACCTTAATACGGTTGGTGGGCCCCTGTCGCACAGCACACATAAAAGGCAAGGTGGGGATCTAGGCTCAGCGGACGAGGTTCACTGGAGCCACCATCCCACCTACAGTAAACCCTAATCCGATCCTAAAGAGGTGCTGCCAGCGACAGGATGTCCCACCACCGCCGCTGCCTCTGCAGGGACACCACCGGCGCCACTGGACTAGGTCGCCATTGCAGCAACACTGGAGGTCATCACCGCCACCACTAGGCGAGGCGGAGCGCAAACCCAAGGGTCGGGTGAGGCGGAGCCCACGGCCTTGGTTTCGGGCGAGACGGAACCCACCCCCGGAGGTCGGGCGAGGCGGAGCCGGACCTTAGAGGCTGGGCGAGGCGGAGCCCTGCCCTCAGAGGTCGGGCGAGGCGGAGCTAGCCCTCGGAGGTCGGGCGAGGCGGAGCTTGGACTCGAGGGTCGGGCGAGGTGGAGCGCGGACCTAAGGGTCGGGCGAGGCGGAGCGCGGACCCAAGGGTCAGGCGAGGCGGAGCTTGGACCCGAGGATCGGGTGAGGCGGAGCGCAGACCCAAGGGTCGAGCGAGGCGGAGCTTGGACCCGAGGGTCGGGCGAGGCGGAGCGCGGACCCAAGGGTCGGACGAGGCGGAGCCCACCCTCAGAGGCCGGGCGAGGTGGAGCTTGCGTACCTAGGGGTCGGCAAAAGCTGTAGTCGCGCTCTTGACCGCTCGGATGAATTAACGTTGATGGTTATTAGCTCCTCCTCTTCGGGTACCCTAGTAATGGTCCCCGATAGCACCCTTCCATGCCCACCGGCGCTCTGCTTCCTCCTCACCCCAGTGCTGCCATCCAGTGAGCCTCGAGGCACGGGCAACCGATGCCACCGCGCGTGCAATAGGCCAGCCTCGATGCCCTAGGGATGCGGTCACCGGATCTCATGGAGGAGGATGTGGGTTGTCGTCCACCGGGGTTGTGTCGATTTATGAATGGCCCTGGTGGCCTGCGGCCGTGCCTGGTGGCATGCGGTCGTGCCTGGTGGCCGACGGCTAGCGCCCTGGTGGCCAGCATCCCGTCCTGGCATACGTCGTGGCCTCGCGAGAGAGGATGAGTCGCGCGTGGGGGAGGGAGGGAAGCGGTTGGAGTGGTGTCGCAGATCGGGAGGGGATGGGAAACGAATCGGGAGGGGTGTTGAGTATAGGCGGGGCGGGCGTGTGCGTGGGTACAGCAGGTGGGTAGAGGTCGAGGACGGTGAGAAAAGAAGGCAAGACGTCCGTAAGAGAGAATGATGCTGTCAATGTAAAGAGTTTCTGCCTGGGTCCGCTCATCACATCAGGGTGGAAAATTTAAATACGTTGGATATGAGTTTAAAGTAGATCTGAGGAACAAAAATCAAAGTGGGTAGCAAATATTTGGGTGAGAGATGATTTCTAATTCCTTCGCTCTTTATAGTAGAGAGAATTCCTCGTAGGCCATTATAAAAGATCCGATTTCATTGGCTTACCATCAAAAAACTTCATGTCGTCTGGACCATTAGTTCATTTTTTTTACACACGTGTAGACCACCGCCGTCATTTCCGTTAACGAGAAATAACGTTACTGTGGATGCCGATGTCAGGTTTTTGTGATAATGGCCATTGTACCCTTCTCTCTGTTGTCCTCCACCGTCGCCTCGCTTCCCCACCTCGCAGCCGCCGCGCGTCTCCTCGCCGAGCCCACCCCCGATTCCAGTTCCACCGCGGACGCTTTCGTCTCCCGGCCCCGGCTTCGCCTGGGGTCTGTGGCCTCCCGTGCCACCGTGCTGAGGAAGGAGCTGGCATGCTCGTTGGCGGCGCTGCCGGCGCCCTCCACGGCCACGGCAGTCTTTGCAGTGGCTGCGCTGCTCAACTCCGCCGATGGCGGCGAGGACCTTCTCCTGGCCGTGGCTGCGTTGGCCACCTTCGCATCCTCGGACGTCGCGCGACTGTCCCTAACGCAGGAGGCCGGTGCCATGGTGCCCCGTCTGTGCCGCACGCTCGAGTCCGGCAGCACGGCCGCGGAGCACGTGTGCATGGCGCTGCTCCAGCTGAGGATGACATCTCGGGACTCGTCCGCGGACGTGGCCGTGCGTGGCGGGGTGGTAGCGCTCCTGGCCGCCTGCGCCAGTGACACCCCGGCGACCCAGGCCCCGGCAGCCGGGGTGCTCCGGAACCTCGCACGGGGTGGGGCGTGGGTCGACGTGGCGTCCCTGCCGCTGTACGGCCCGGAGCAGCAGCAGCACAAGGACGCCCCCGCCGAGCCGAGCGGAGGTCTGCGCGATGGCGGCGTTGAGCCCCCTGGCGAGGCCGTGCACGACACCGTAGCTGCGGTTGCCAAGCCCGATGCAGCCGAAGGGGAGCAGGTCGTGCACGGCTCTCGTGCGCCGACCTCCTCCTGCTGCGGTGGCCCGCCGCGCCAACCCTCCCCTTCGCAGGCGCGGGAGACGAAGAAGGTGACGGTGCGCTCTGCTTCGGCGCCTCGTCGGTGGACTCTAGCTTTGGCACCGCCTCGTCGGCGGACTCCAGCTTCGGCACCAGCTGCTACAGGCGCGTGGGACGTGGACCGCCAGTGCGTTCGGAATGGGGACTGCGAGCGCGCTGTCCGGCACATGGAGCGGCTCCGGACGCGGCCGCACTCGTCCGTCACCTCCTTCGCCTGCTCGAAGAAGATAGGATGAAGAAGAAAAGCTGACGCGTGGGGTCCACCTATAAAAGGGGCAAAAGGGACATTTCAATCTCCTGTTAGCTGTTGTTACCAGAAAAGTTGACGGTAGTGGCCTGCAGGGGTTGCAAAAATCAAAGCGATGGTTGAGAACTTTTTCAGTGGCTGACGAGGAAGCTATATTTTTTATAGTGGTTCACGTAGAATTGTCTCTTTATAGCATAGATTCGGTGAAATTTACAAAAGACTAACTTAAAACAACTCCTAACAAGGGGCAGAGGAAGTAGTAGTTACGTGACTTGTGCAATGCGAGACATTAGATTATCTGTCATTCGAATACCTTAGGCAATTCCCATAAAATTCTAGTGTCTTACATCATTCCCAAATGAGAAACTATGAGCTATTTCTATACTTGTCAAGTTTGACACTGTACATATCAAAACCATATTTTCAATGGATGGTTTCTATAGGATAAATTTTGTACAATCACATATTATTTCTTTCCTATCATCTACCTATCACGACTCTTCATATCTAAAGCTCTCCTTACGCCTCCCTCTTCTTTCTCTTCTTTGCAATGCTTTAAGAGCCTTGGACTCGTCAACTACATCAACACCAAACTTCGATGCCAATGATGACACCCTAAAGCTCTCCTTACGCCTCCCTCTTCCTCTTCTTTGCAATGCTTTCTGACTTATCCAGCTCCTCTTGCAACTTCCTAACTCTTCCTGACTTTTCATGCGCCTGCTTCACCAAAACATCCAACTCTTTAAGCTTATCAACTTTAACTTGATTGACTTCGACCACTCTTCGGTAGACCACCATGAAATTATCCTTAATGAGCCCTTTATGTTTCCCTTTACCACCATTTATCTTCTGCAGCTCCTCCACTGAAAACATCTGAGATGAACACAGTTGTCACTCAAATGAAAAAGATCTCATCATATGGTAGCAAAACCACATTTCAAAATACAGCAAGATGATTAACCTGACAATGATTGGATGAATGTTCATCCATACACATGATCTGAACAGCTGTCACATATTTCAATGCATCCCAACCCTGTGTGTCAATGCTTTCCTTCTCAGGATAACCAGCCATACGCAAGCACTGCAGCAGCTCCTTGTTAATTTCAAGACAATGATAGATGAAGCAGGCTGTTTCTGCAATCTGTCCATTAACCTGGATACAAGGGCATGAGGGCATACGCTCAAAAAATGAAACAGGAACTGACCGGGGAGGACTTAATAAAAATGATACTGAGATACATGGATGATTTTTCGACTTAATAAAAGTGATACTGAGATACATTGATCATTTTTCCTTTTTGATATCATAGTGCTTAGCATACAGTTGGTATGATATTCCAGGAAGTATCGCAATATAAACTTTGGTGATATTCATGGATTGAATAAATTTACATGACAGGGTGCAGTAAAACAGAAAAATTGAACGTTGGACATCAGTAAAGACTAGTGTGCTCACCAGCTCTGGTTCGATGTTATAATTAAGACTTCGCAGGAACATATGTAATCCTTGACTCCTATACTTACGGTCCTCCTCACGTAGCTCTAATTCCTCATCAGGCACTAAAATCTGCAAGTGGTTTTCCAGGCCCCACATCACTTCAAACGCAACTTCATCACAGTGGCAGGCTATTTTCTGTCAAATACACAACAGATTTTGAATGCATTGATATATGTTGCACAAGTAGAAGCAAGAAAAGGGTGCTAAGGCTGACCAGTCTGTTTCAATAGCCAGTTTATGTTCACTCTTTCCAACAGGAATTGTCTCCCCACTACAATACCAATTTTTGATCATCTTGGTGATGTGGTCATCAATACCAGAAGTTCCAATGGCATCTGACTTGTTTTCAAACTTCTCGAACTCCAACAGCCAGATGGCCTGCCAAAGACATGCAGAATTATGAGCATAACATGGAAAGGAGAAACTTGTCGAAGCCAGATCCAGTACGTTTCTTTAAAACAATTTGTGACAGTACAAAGTTGACATTCTGTTCCTAATGGAGATTACCGCCTTTCCCAAACTGTCTAACTTTATATTTCTGTCTCAACTTTAGCTAAATGGAATGTGTTAATCACAAATGGATCATGAGACTTGAGGCATCCACTTTTGTTTTTACAGACAAATAAACTTGCAGAATGATGATGGAAATTCTATGTTCATAGGAATTGCGTTTTAATTCTATCATCTCAACTGCATTCTATGGTTTGTTCTGGAGTTGCTTTCTATCAAACTTGATCTAGATCATTACCAATGGCATATTTTGTCTACCATCACATCAAACCTTCAGGTGGATAAGAAATGTAATCTAACTGAACAAATGGTGTCCCAACATGCATTCCAAATAATTTTGCAAACAAACTGATATAGAACATCTCTAATGAATTGAGCTTAATATATTTTCAAACACTTATTCTTAAACCTCATGTGGGTCTGACCATTTTCATTTACCATCTTACGGAACAAACATTTCTTTGCAGTTAGGCCTATCAGACATTGTAGTTATAGGTTTTACAGGGCGTACCCAGTGCAGAGAGCTCCCGCTCTGTGCGGGGTCTGGGGAAGGGTGTTAGTGGCAAGCCTTACCCTCGCCTTTATAGGTTTTACAGGAACTAGGTCAAATACCAAACAACCAATACAGAAACACAAACATTCAGTCCATGGCCCATTGCAAGGCCTAGCAGCCCAAATTTGCAAAAAAGTGCACACAATATACGTGTTTCTGAATTATAAGGTTTGCAGTAAGCTTATGAAGGTTCGTATTGACAACTGAAACAACTTAATTTAATACAGTGTATGACTTTGGACTGAGCAGCGAATGGAATGTCAATACATTTACTGGTTTGCAAAGGCCCTAAATTTGACATGTCCCAAATTATGTAGATCTGTCAATTTGCAACATTGATGGGGGTAGGTCATAGCCTACAACAGTACAGAGAAATTAGGTATCATACATGGAAAGATAGTGGCTGCTACAAGGACTGAAGCAATATATGTAGCAATGCTTGATAAATTTATAAGCAGAAGCAGCAGCTATTAGCCACAAAGCAATCATGGCATGGTACGAACACAACATAGCTTTATTTGGTTGCAGGCATGCAGCACAAGATATGTTTGAACCCTATAAAAATGAAAGAAAGAACCAGAATTCATCACAAACAGAGGTGACCAGCAGGCCAATTCCAGACATTAATGAATTAACTAACTAGATCCAGGTACCACCCCAAGAGAAAGAATCAAACAAAGCAAAGGATGAGATGATTAATGCTAACCAGTTCCGCTGTGGTACTGTCGGCCAAATATGTCCAGATAATCTGCAAATATGAATGCATAAAAAATGAATATTTTGATCATTGACATATAAATTAAAAAAAAACAAGTAGTGACATCACTGACAAGCTTGATCATCAAGCAAGTACCTCAAGCGGGTTTTCGACATTGACATAGTCTCCATTAAAGCCAAAGAATGCGAAGCCAGATGGTGTCTCAAAGAGCACCCTAATAGGCACCACCTTCATAGGCACCGGTTCTCCCATGAGGAAATATCAACCCCTACAGAGAAATCAAGAACAGGCAAGTTTAAACAAACAGCAACCGAATTAACTGATTGCCCTGTCTCTCAGGTTATGTTTGGCTGCCTCGGGCCGGTTGGGAGAGAATAGACCATGGTACATGAGCAGGTAAAATGGACATGCATGCTACACTTTCTATTATTGGCAGGCCTTCTAATTGCAGAGGAAAAGCATAAGAAAAATATATATGTAGTATATCTCATACAATTAAATCATTTCCAAAAGTCTGTATTAGTTCCTATTTATGACTTGGAAAGAATTTCAAATCACCAAGCTCCTCAAAAAGGAAAAGGTAACCATACTAGAGATGTAACGCATGGTGACAGAGCAGTTGCAGTTATACATTACCAATGACTTATGCCAAAACCACATACTAGTAACCCCTACAGATAATCAAAAGAGGCAACCTAGACTGCTCTCCAACACCTCACCGACTCTGATAGATTACTAATTGTCTAGAAAGAAAACAAACTAACCATTACCTACAAGGAGAACCAAACTACTAGGACCAGAGTACGCTACGGAATACTCCGTAGAGATCTGGGCGTTGCCAGTGGAGGACGAGGGCCTTACAACGGTACGGCAGCGGTGGACGGAGGGACGACAAAGTCGGACCCGCCGGCGTGCGGACGAGGGTTTCGAGGAGAGGGCAGCGCAGCGCGTCGAAGGCGGCCGTAGTGAAGGGGAGGCGGTGGAGGCAGTTCCGGCGGGAGGTTGCGTTCGGTGGCCGGCGCCGCGGGCTAGATGATCGGCGGTAGAATCGTGGGCATTTTATGGAGACGGCGGCACTGAGGCCCGGTCCGTGTCGGGCCCATTTGGCCATCTACGCACACCCAGCCCAAACACATGCACCTAGCCCAAGCGGAGAAGAAGACACGCGAGCGCCTGGTGCCCGGCGGCCGAACCGAACGCGATGCCGTCGCCATCTCCGCCGCCGCCAGTGCTGCCGATCTCGGAGCACGAGGACGAGATAGTCGCCGCGGTGGACGCGAACCCTGTGGTGGTGGTCATCGGCGAGACCGGCTCTGGCAAGAGCACTCAGCTCTCACAGATCCTCCACCGCCGCGGATACACCCGTCGGGGCGCCATCGCCGTCACCCAGCCCCGCCGCGTCGCTGCGGTCTCCGTTTCCAGGTTCCTCTTCTCATTACCTTTCTTGCTCTATCACGTGCGCGAGGCATGCTTTTTGCTGTGTGGGTCGCAGCTGGGCAGTTGGAAGGGTTTATGAATTGGGATTGGAACTGCCTTTACATTTTTATAAAGGAGACTCCTTGTAGGATTCAATTGACACCTAAATGGCCTGGTAAATATCCGAAATCTCATCGTGCTGTGAGTTCAGTGGAGCTCCATGTTGGATAGCGCATTGATTTTGTTTTTACCGAAATTATCACCAAGAAATAAACAAAACTTAGAAAGAACTATTGTGTGAGGATTCATTAAGTAGTTCTTCTGGTTGACCAACTACTCTCGAATCTTGATTTTGCTGAATGGGTTTCTTCCTGGTTGATCAGCTATCCATTCTCAATTCAACTGCATGGGATTCTGTTTTAGTTCTTTTATTATTACTCACTGTTGAAAGTTATTTCAGTTACTATGTTGTTAAAATACTAGAAGGAACTATTGTGTGAGGATTCATTAAGTAGTTCTTCTGGTTGACCAACTACTCTCGAATCTTGATTTTGCTGAATGGGTTCCTTCCTGGTTGATCAACTATCCATTCTCAATTTAGCTGCATGGAATTCTGTTTTAGTTCTTTTATTATTACTCACTGTTGAAAGTTATTTCAGTTACTATGTTGTTAAAAGTACAAAACATGTATGTAACTGTTTTTGTGAGTAAGAGCACTTTTTTATTATTTCGCAGAAGAGTAGCTCAAGAGCTTGGTGTTCCACTTGGGGATGAAGTTGGTTATGCAATCCGATTTGAGGACAGAACTTCAGAAAGAACATGCATAAAGTAAGCCTCTGAAAAATTGGATAGCTTGAATTTCTTCTAATCCAGCTGCAGTAACGTACCAAGCTCAATAACCACTGGAGGTGCACTGATGCTAAATTCGTGGATTTAAATTCTTACTTGTTTTTACAGGTACCTCACGGACGGCGTTCTCCTTCGTGAAAGCCTTTCAAATCCTGAGTTGAAGCAATACTCAGTAATCATACTGGATGAAGCTCACGAGCGTAGTTTAAACACGTATGGTGATTTATATCTGAATTATTTCTACTTGAGTCAATTTGAAACTAGCTTGGTAGCATGTTTCTTTACATATATTCATGGCCACTATTTTCCAATCCGTTTACTTGACAATTGTGTCAACTACTATAATATGGACATGTCTTAGAGTTTAAATGTATTATTTTACCGTTAGCATGTCATATACTCTGTTTTCTTGTTTGCTACACACTACCATAGGATTCTTATAGATAAAAGGTTCAGGGTCTGTCAGATCATTTGGCGCACCTACTTATCTTTGTTGTAGCAGTTCTTGTCTTGCTGTGTAGCACGTACATGTGGCAATACGGGATTACAATATCCCTTACTACCAAATATACTTTAACATCGCCCCGCAGTTGTAGTGGGAGTATTGAAGACGGTCAGACTAGAGAAGAAACCGAAGGCTAACATTTAGTTCTGGGATGATGATAGATATTCAGTGTTGCTCTCTTCTTTTTAAGTTGAGTGCTGTTACAGTGGATGATATGTGTAGGTATTTATGCAAACTGTTTGCATGGGCTCATTTTAATACTTATTATCTGGTTATACCATTACAGTGATATCCTTTTAGGTTTGATGAAAAGATTGATCAAGGACCGAGCCTCAGATTTAAAAGTTCTAATCACCTCTGCGACTCTTGACGGTTTAAAAGTTTCGAAGTTCTTCTCAGGATGCCCTGTGTTAAACATACCTGGAACTTTGTTCCCTGTGGAGAAATTTTACAGCACTGAACGCCCAACAAATTATATAGAATCTTCACTCAGAACAGCTATAGGTAAGAAGCATTTTTTTTGTAACCTTTTGCAGTTTTAAGCTTTTGGGATTTGTTCATGCCAATATTGTTAGTGCATCTTTTTCCTGCTTTCGCTTTGCACTAGTCAGAAACTTAATAATAATTGCTAATAAGGTTATAGAGATAATATTTCTGACAAAAGTCACGGCTTGTTTTGTCATGTGGCATGAATAAGAGTGGTCATTACAGTGGTAAGAAGGAAACTGGGTTGCTGCCCTTCACCCTGGACACTCTTTACTGTGAAGTTGTTCGATAGGGAGGAAAGAGTAAGGAAGAAATTCTCTTTATTGCTTAACAGCTGAGTATAAAACAATGTGGAATAGCATTACAAATATTAGGATCTCACAACCCCTGATACTTTCCTAACAATTCAATTGAACCTAGGTACTTTCTTCATTTTTAGCATTATATTTTGGAAACCTTGAAAAAAAAATCTGAATTATGCATATGTAGTGTTTGGAATATACCCAAAGACTTAGCCTTAGATAGGAGTGCTTGGAAAACAGCTATTCACGTGCCTGAACCTTGATTGCTTCTGCTGGGTTTCAACTCTAGCCTACCCCAACTTGTTTGGGACTTAAAGGCTTTGTTGTTGTTGTTGTTGTATGCATATGTAGTGTTTGGTCGTTGCACATGGTTATGATACGCGGATCTCCTGTGTATTCGATAGAAATAGAGAAAGTTTTAATGAGACTATGATTCAAAGTCTCATACCTCTTTTCTGATACCACATATGGGAATATTATAGTTAGTTTTTTTTAAAAAAAAAATTTAGTTATGCATTTTTTGTACCTTAAACTTTTTAAAATTTCATTTCTTTCACTAACAAAACAGAAAATGTTTGTTGTCAGATATCCATGCCAAGGAACCTCCTGGGGATGTCTTAATATTTATGACAGGAAAGGTCAGTACCTCAATATCTGTCATTGTTTATTTCTTTTTCCTTTCTCTTTTTGCAATCTGTAAGTATATTCTGTAGTCGTGCCAATTACCATGGCCTTGATCAAATATATTTCCTTGTATTAACAATGTAATTTCTAGTTTCTTTATTTAAACGTAGTTTTGTGATCAATGTAGGAATTTATATTTTTTAGCTGTACACCCTCCGTCCCAAAATAAGTTAATTTCTAGCGCATCTCCGGCAAAATAGTATGGTGGGGGAAAGACCCACATCTCCGACAAAATAGCATGGAGGGGGAAAAGACCAAAATTGTTGTTGCACCAGAGTGGTGGTGACCTTTTGCTTGCCCAAGATCAATTTAATTGTTGTTGCACCTGGGTGAAGGATTGAGAATCATAAATGTGTGCTTTTGTTCTCGAGGAGTTAGTGGGGGTGAGTCTAAAAATCAACTCTTTGTGGGACAAATCTTTTTTCTACAAATCAGTTTGTTTTGGAGAGATGGTTTAGTACTAAATATAAATTTAGGAATTTGCAGATATTTTTTTATTAACAGAAGAAGTTCTAGTTTTCTTTTCTTGTTGGATTAATGTGGAAACCTATATTGTATTAACTATTAATTTACTATTTTATGGTAAACTTGTAAAGGTAACTGTCATTGATACTTACTAATGTGTATTCTTTATTTATGCAGCTCCCCATTCAAGTAGTGTCTATTCCTTTTCTTTTATTAAATATGTTGAGTGCTTATGCTGAATTGTGGTTATTTGAGATTGGCGCAGGATGATATTGACAAGATGGTCTCAAAATTGGAGGAAAGAATTCAAAATCTTGAGGAAGGCTCCTGCATTGATGCTCTTGTCCTTCCTCTTCATGGTTCTTTGCCACCTGAGCTGCAGGCAAGTTCCTAGCCTTGCACATTTGATTTGCACCTCTCAGCTTTCCAACCAAACTTTTATGTAGTCTTACAGGATAAATACTGTACTTTTTTTTTGATTTGATAGCTCTGCTATCCTTCACTTTTGTTTCTCTTTCTTGCTTAACATTTCATGCCCTGCAGCATTTCTGATTTTGCGCACTTCTCATATAGGTTAGGGTATTTGCTCCTGCACCTCCAAACTGCCGACGCTTCATTGTTGCAACAAATGTTGCTGAAACTTCGCTGACTGTAGATGGTGTCGTGTAAGAAGCAAACATAATCAGTTGAGAAGCATGTGCTTTTTGTTTCCATCTTCAGATTGTATTTAAATGGAGTGAACATTGCAATCTGACTTGTTTGTGACTACGCATGAAAAATAATATGCTAGCAATAGAATGGAGCGACATGAACTACTCTGCTAATATAATAAGAAATGCTGACATATTTACTTTATTATTTAGAATAAAGATATGTTTATCTGAAGCATCACTCATTTTTCTGTGAAGCCATTAATTTCATACAACTCATTCCGCTTTATCAACAGCGCTAGTTATATTTATAAATCAAGTAAGCTGTTGTTGTGTCACTGTCTAAAATACATGTAGTTTAAATGTCAAAATTTACTTGAAGGACTTGTGAGTGCATGTAGAACTGTTTAAAGTTGATGCAGCAAACTTGTTAATGTGATTTGTTTTTGTTTATACGTAATTGCTGAGTACTACTTTTCGGTTAGTTCTCCAACAGTTTGATGTCTACAGACCAAGGTGGAACTAAAATCTTAGATATATTTATCATGATTAAATCATCCTGGGCTCCATATGACATTTTGGAGTCACCAAAGATATTTTACATTCTAATAGCTTGGATGGAGTGTGGAGAAACATAAATTCTTCACTGTAGGTCCCCTCACTAGTAAATAGTTTAAAACAGAATTTCGCATGAACATGATAGTTTTATGAAAAGAGGGGCTGCTTTAACTAGAAATATGATAATCAGGATCCATGAAGTGATACAGGAAACTTTAGCTGTTGATATATAGGAGAGTGAGCAACTGCCCGACTGTGACTATCAAGCTTCGTAATTTTTCTTACAAAGTTGTTGAAAACTTAAAGTGGCTGTATATCTTTTTTCCCATGAGGTGTTCTGTTTTTCTAAGTTTGCACAAAGATATTAACAATACAATTTCTTATTTCTTTAGGTTCGTGATTGATTGTGGTTATGTAAAGCAGCGCCAATACAATCCATCAAGTGGAATGTATTCACTTGATGTAGTCCAAATCAGCAGGTATATAATTTGGCACATGCAGTCTCTTTTTTTTTTTTATGCACTTTGTTCACTATCATATTACTTCCATTCATATGTCTAGTTTTGGATGCTAACCTGTACTGAGAATTTTATTGAATAACTAGAGTGCAGGCTGATCAGCGAGCAGGGCGAGCTGGAAGAACTCGGCCCGGCAAGTGCTATAGGCTATACCCAATTTCCATATATCAGAATGAGTTTCTTGAGGCAACAGTTCCTGAAATTCAACGCACTTCTCTTGCTGGAAGTGTTCTGTATCTGAAATCGTTAAATCTTCCAGACATCGACGTACTGAAGTTTGATTTTCTAGATCCACCATCACGTAAGATAAAACTTCAGATTCTTATTGTTTCAATTATTCTTCTGGATCTGCCCGTGATGCATCTAATTGTTGTCTAGTTACTTATTATGTGCGGAGTTCGATGGCTAATTTGTACTTACTGTTTTCTAAAGCATTGCAAAATTATGTTATTACTATGAAGTCCGGTGAAGAAACTACTTTTGCGACGACTCTACTCATGTCACTTTTGAATTGTTACGGGCTGCTTAGGGGAGGGAATCTCTTGGAGATTGTAGTTGTGATGGGTGGTATGGTGGCGCGATGGGCTTCGTTGCTGGCGACTCGTGATGGTTTGCCCAGACTTGGTGAGGCGGTGGCTTCAGCTTGGACAGGGGCTGGTGGCAGCGCAAAGGAGAGTGAGAGAGAACTTTGAGGAAAAATCACTTTTCTGGTTAATCCATATGGATACATCTAAAATATGGGTTTTTTTTTTATAGATATGATCCATCCTGTTTAATTCAATTCAAGCTTTCGTCACAAGCCTATCTCTTATTCTCTATTCTCTAGTACTGATAACTTGTTGGCGGCCCTGAATTTGAGGGGTATGGAGGTTGCAGCATGCCAGCCGCACCCTCCGGTTGCTGCAACACGTATAGGTGGTGGCTACTGCCTCTGGGTTGGGCTGGGTTGCTGGGCTGCTTGGCCCATGGGCATTATACCAATAACATGAATGTGCAAAACTGTCCTTACAAAAGATATAAATAGCCAAAAGGGGAGCCATTTGGTGCCTTGAAATAAATACAATCGAAAATTATGTTGTGACTTCTGCCAGCTTTTTTTAAATTCACAAATGGTTTGCAGGTGAGTCATTAGAAGATGCTTTGAGGCAATTATACCTCATTGATGCAATTGATGAAAACGGGCAAATAACAGATGTTGGACGAGTTATGGCAGGTATACCAAGCCTGTCTTGTTTCCATTGAAATTAAATGGTTGTTCAAAGCCTTCTTGAGCTATTGCAGACCTTTTTTTTGTCCTTTTAACCTGAAATGTGGGCAAATCTAATATAAAATATTCCTCTACTTTGAAGTATCAAACCGTATAAGTTGCACATGACATTATAATATAGTGCTGTCATCTTGAGCTTTGAATGTGCTTGTCATGAGCTTTTTTGTATACTTGTATCAATTCTCTGCAGTTTCAAGTTCTAGTTTTTGCCTTTAGTATTGTGTACTTGAATCCTTACTGATTGAGCAACAGGGGACGTAGTGCATATATCACTTGGGGTTTATACCTTTCAACGTTAACATACCTTGAATTCTTTACGTACGTCTCAAGCATAATGCAATGTATATTAATATTGCTGTTTAATGAGTAATTTAAATATTCCACGCATCAATGTAATTCTAATCAAATCAGAAACATGTCATTGCCCCCGGCCCCTTCTCTTGTGCAAGGGTGATTGCTTTATGAGCATAGTGATGGGGTATTATAGTATTATACAATTTTCACATTACAGATGATGTAAGTAGCTGGTTCAATTGCCTCCTTGCACATGGTAATATGCTACAAGTTCCTGTATCACAATGGAATCATGAATCATAGCTAACAGACTACCACAATAAACTACACATAGGAACACGATTTAGGGATCCTAAAAGGAGCATTTAATTGTGGTTGTGGGAGTAGAGTTTAATTTAGCAGTGAGCGAACATTTATGTGAAGTAGTTGTAGAATGTTTATATTTTCTCTGATTTCTCTGATGTGCAATCATGCACCACATAAGCTTTTATTTGAGTTTTTAATTGTGAAAATGCTGGTAACACCTCAGCTACCAAGGAACGAAACCTATGAACTGTTTATGGCCCTGTTTGTATCCACTTATAATCATCGTACTGTGGGGATATTTTCGATCCTCGATTGTGCTAGTTCAAAGTTCTGAAGCGGCAGTGAAGAAATCAGAAATAATCGAAGCATTTGGTGGGATTCTCGCTTTTTCACTGAGAATCCGATTATAAGCGGAAACAAATAGGGCCGATATTGGATAAGTTTACTTGGGCCCACTCACTTTTGAATCTCCTAATTTGGTTGTCTAAGGATAGAATTTGTACAGAGCTCCCTCTTGAACCGTCTCTTTCAAGGACCTTGATTGAAGCAAATGAATTGGGATGCCTGTCTCAGGCATTAACTGTTGCTTCGATTTTGTCAGCAGAAATCACATTGCGATCAGCTAGGTGACCCCCCTCCCTCTCATCTCATCCACTGTACTAAATTCATGCTTAATGATATAAAACCTGGACTTATATATACAGCAAGGACATGGATGGGAAGAGGAAAAGGCAGGAGCTTCCTGATGGTTCTGGCTGGGGTGACCATATACAATTGCTTCAGATATTCGAAAGCTGGGATCAGTCTGGTTATGATCCAAAATGGTGCTCTGATCATGATTTGCAGGTGACTGAAAAGAACATGTTTCTAATATATTTAATAAACAAGACTTATGCTAGCGTAGTTAGTAAAAGTAGATGCAATCATCTTCGATTACTCAAGACAAGGAACAAAAGACATCACCTGAGTTTTCTACAAAATACCCTCATGATTGTCATTGTGTGGTTTCATGGTAGAAATCATGCCCATAACTTTCATCTGATTTCTCAGTACAAAAGGGAATGCTCAACAGAAATGAATCTATAAGATTAGAAACAATCTATAATCTTCAGTTATCTGTCCAAATATAAGGATCCTGTGCCTTTTATTTTTTAGTCTTGAAGATTGGGGTTACACATTTATGAAAGACAACTTTATATCCATGCAAGGCTACTCTACGGCCATCATATTGATGATAATTCCTTTAACATTTTTGAAAGGATTCTACTATCATAACTTTTTACTGTATTCTTGTTTGTGACTTTTGCCCATGCTCCTTCAGCTTTCCAGTTATATTATGATTTACTACTTACAGCTACCATAAATAATTGTGAACTTTAAAATTTTAAATCCAGGAATGCAGCAGGTTAAAACACTGGTAACCATATTTGTATGCTTGCATTTACCGAAGGATAATGGCCCAACTTGTTTTTTGAAACTGGAAAATGGCCCAACTTTATTAAACGAGTTAATCGCTTTTTTTGCATCAAATATATATGTTTTGAAGACATTAATTGTATTTTATCGCCTTATATGTATTAATATTGTCCATCTTTTGCAGGTGCGGAGTATGAAATTGAGCAAAGATGTGAGGAACCAACTATGCCAGATTATTAAAAAAATTGCAAAAGGTCAATTCTCTAGCTTTTATTTTTATCTTCAATCCTTAAATCAATGATAAAGCAGATCCCTTCCAAAGATCAGTGATAGAGTAGTGCAAGTGGTGACACTAGTGTGTCAGCTAGCTAGTTCATTTTCATGCCATTTCTGTTGCATTGAAATCTGGATTGGTCCAATTTGGGTCAACCCACTTATCCAGAGGAAGCAAAACTTGCATGCCTAGTTTTGAAACTGTTTTAAGCTTCATCTTCATAAGCTAATTTGTAGTTTCAGTTTTGATAGGATTGCATAGAAAACACTTCTTCGCGTGCCTGGACCATGAATAGGCTTTAAATCCCCTATTAATATCACTATTGTTGCCATCTATATATTTGATGGCTCATGTTGGGTTTCAACTCTAGTGTACCCCTACTTACTGGGGACTAATATAGTGTTTGGTGTGAGAATGGGGGTGATTCATCGTCTTCTCACTCCTTACATTTTTGTTTGGTTAGTGGAATTGAATGAGTTGATCCATCACAACTTCATCCCTCACAAGCTAATAATTAGTGTAAGCACGAGGAATGGGGTCATCGTCATTCTAACAAATTCATAGGTTGAACTAATGATGCACCCCATAGAAGGTTTTGTTGTTGTTCTAATAGTATTAGTAGTAGTTCCTATCTTGTTTTATAAAGATTATTACCTAAAAGAGGTGCTTCAAAACTGCCATTTATGTAGCATAGGTGCCCTCTGTTGGTCAATTAGAGTCTAGGAAACTGTAGGTTTTGTTAATTTGTCTTGATCCTAATAACAGCTTAAAAAAATAAAAAGGTCGTATAAATGGAAATAGGAACTAAGGAGATGTACAAGTGATTACTCAGGGTAATACACAAATACTGATGATTAGTCCTTAAATGCCCAGAGCTCACTTTAGTTATCTGAGATATCTGGTTTTTTAGTCATTTAACTAAGGTTTGCTTGTTGCTGAAATGTAAGCACAAGGTCAGTCTGTCGGATATTAAAAAAGAACACAGAAATGTGATATTTGGAAATGCCAAATGCCATTATTTTTTATTGTGCCAAAGGGCGCCTAGCTCAAACGGTTAGGTGACCTGGCGGCACTCCTCAGGTCCTGAGTTCGACTCCTCGTGGGAGCGAATTTCAGGCTGAGGTTAAAAAAATCCCCTCGTCCGTCCCCATAACCAAAGCACTGGGGGGGCACCGGCCCAATTCTCACTTGGGCGACGGAAAGCCACCGTGTAATGGTGGGGGCGGGGTTCGGTTTTTTCTCGGCCGGTGAGAAGGTCCTTCTTCTTATTTGAAATGTTGCGGGGTAGTCTTAACCCCCCCCGGTCGAGTTTTCTTTATTTTTTATTGCTGCGTCATCAGTTGTCACTTAGTGGGATTGCTGTAAGTTGTCCATGTTTTTTTAATCCTAAGTGTCCTTTGATTCCTATAGTGTCATCTCGGGAAAACCGGTCCACATAAGTTAACTTGAAATGTTGTTAAATTTAGGTTCAACTGATGTGCATGCAAGGAAAAGCCAGAAGAGTGACCCTGACTATAGAAAGCTGAGGAGAGCTCTCTCGTGAGGATATGGTAACCAGCTAGCTGAGAGGATGCTGCATCACAATGGCTACCATACTGTTGGCTATAGGACCCAACTTGTACAGGTATGTAATCGTGTAATTTCTTTGTCAGATTTAGCTTATTGTAATGTTGAGCTGCCCGAAAATTAAGGGAGACGAATAATCCTGAACCATTATTGTACTTGTAACTTTATTTGGGTGAGGGTGTGGTGGGTGGTGTTTGTGTTTTGTACTCTCCTTTATTCTCAATGCAATGATACACAACACTCCTACATATTCGAGAAATTATTATACTTATATGATCAGCACCACTCAAGGTGAAAATTTGCATGCTTTTTTGTCCCTTGTTTCTACTGGACATAGGAGCCAAAGAAACTGCTGATAGCTACTTAAATTGTTTCTTGGTGTGCCACATCTTGACAACAAGCTGCTTGCTAGTGTGCCCACTTTCAGAGTAGTTTAGATATACTAAAACGTTAGGCATATCATATCTGAGCACACCCACAGTGCCACACTTAATCATATCTGAGCAAAGCTTGTGGTATAAATAACACAAATTAAGCTTTTAATCACATATTTAATCATCCTGTCAAACTTATTCATGACTTCTCTTCACATTATGTTGTTTGAGAATTTTGTTGAACTTCTTTGCAGGTGCATCCATCTTCTGTACTGGAAGGTGATGAGTATGGGAAGTTTCCAATGTATGTTATTTATCATGAGCTGATAAGTACAACTCGTCCATACATGAGAAATATCTGTGCCGTCGAGCAAGCCTGGGTTGAGCCTATATTAAAGAAGCTTGAGAAATTAGATGTAAACAGATTAAGGTAAAGTGAGAAATTTCTGAATTATAAGCATTATTTCCAAACTGTGATCCAGCAAACCTGGTGGTAGCTAAAGTCAACATTCGGTATCTCATCGCAGTGGTGGCTCGAGTGCACCGAAAGATTCTGAACTTCTAGTAGAGAATAAGCAAGTGAACACGTTGAAGAAAGACATGGATGTAAAACAATCTGAGGTGGACAGTAAAATCCAGGCAGCTCGAGAGCGCTACCTTGCACGAAAAGGTAAGAAATGACAAATGACACATTTTCCTGATCGCTCAACAATCCTTCTGGTCATCCTGAAGCATTTCTGAAGATCATACCAACGAATCCATTCATGTTATGGTGGGCGGTGTATACTTCAACCAAGAACATTCATCATGTTCCATTGTGCACAGAAAAGAGAAAATTCCTTATTTGGACTGGAAGAAAACGTGCTTAACTATGTAACTCTGAATTTTTTTTGGATTTTTTGTTTGACAACTCTAACCTTTTGCCTTATTTGACATTACCGTCACCTTTTCCTTGGGCCATGCAAGTTATTGATTTATGGACCAAATACTCTTGGGTGTCCAAGACAAAGCGGACAAATCAAATGTAGAATATTTCCTATATGACACTGGAAGTTTACAGGCTTTCCTCCGTGGGCTAGAATTTTTTTCCCGCTTCCTATATGATGCTGAGTTTATTATTTAGGTCTCATTTGATAGATGAAAGACTATTTTGCCCCTTTTGCCTAGCATGAGTCCCAGGCAACACCACGGTACGGGCGTGTTTGATGTGAACCTGGAAGTGATATGCCTGGATGAGAGCTTGCCCGCAAGCTAAGCTGTCTGCATCGTTTAGATGAAGCCTTGGAGACCTTTCTGACGCAGCACATAAACTTTTTTTTGTGTGCTATTGGTCTCTTAATTAAGTCCATAGAACAATGCGTTAGGTTGTTTGTGGTGGAACCTGTCCACCTGGGTTAAGTCCTCGACTTGGCACGGATGCTCGTGTTTTTCTGGATTTATTTTAGGATTTAACAACGACGTTTCCGTCGATAGCGAGGTGCTTGTTGTGATTTCGTCAATTTTGAGATGCACCTCTCTTTTGAAGGTGTTCATAGAGATTTACTTGTGTAATTCGAAAAAAAAGTCCATAGAACAATGCTTACAATAGAAAATTCGGTTTGCCTTTATTTCTTTTTTTTTTCCATAGACATAAATATTGGATATGGAAATATTATGCGATACTAATATATTTTATTTCCTAGTGTTTTTAAAGCTATTTTCTTTAAACGTGAACCAATAAAATAATATTAATATAAACAATTACTATTGTGATCCAAAATTGGAACAAGTCCTTTTTCTCATTTGAGTTTTCGGGCACGTGCCTCCAACCAAACACACGTGGCAATTCTTAGGCAATACTTTTTGCAAGGCAACTCACTCATGCTTCTAACCAAATCCAAATCATCAATAGATAGCCTAAGGAATACAATAACTAGTTTCTTTCTTTAGTTCATATATATATTTTTATTTATATGGGACCACATATAAGATAAGAAAGTTGAGTGTAATAGGGACCAGCAGGTGAAAGAAGTGCCTCAATGCGCATGATTAGCTCATTGCCACGTATAGCGATAAGGTACCTATTCTCTCACTGTGGGCGATATGGCCATTAGTGTACTCACTCTTAGGTCTCGTTTTGCAGATAAAAGGACTGTTTTAACCCTCTTGCCTCTTAAAGGCAGCATGTGATTCCTAGACAACACCGCACCATGAGATGTGGCATCTTTTATCTATTTTTTTTATGAACAATACAATTTGTTGATGTGCGTAGTGTCATATTATACTATGCATTAGCATGGAAATTGAAGAAAAAATGGTAGGGCTAATCCAAGTCATTGCCCTCGAACCGCCTAGATCCTACAAGCGAATAGAAAGTTTGGCCTACGATGCTCCATCTATCTTTCTAAGGAAAAGTTTGTTTGGTTCGAAACTCCGATTCAAACCGGAGGAGTATGCCATGCTAATGTGACTTGGATGATCCACATTTTTTTTTGCCAGGCATCGATGAGCACGTTGAACTAGGCTGAGAGCCCTATGTTCCTGAAAAAAGTTGCGGCCTTCTATGGCTCACGGCTAGGTGGCATGTGTTTTCACTTCGTCAGTTCTGGGCTTCCCGCCTTCTATGGAGAAGCTTCCTTCAGTCCTTCCTTTCGGTTAACGGCAGCGAGCAGAGCAGACAGGAGGCGCCGAGAGCCCAACGTCGGAGATATCCTCCGCCGCCCTGGAGACGCTGGCCAGCGCCATGCGGCGCGAGAACCGCCGGTCCAAGGCCCCGTCCTCCGCCTCCGCCCTCACCTCGGGCAGGGTCAGCGTCATGGCCTTTCTCTCCTGCCTCGCCTGGCTCTACGTCGCCGGCCGGTACGTCCCCCCTACCCGCTCAGATCCCAGACACTCCGACCCAGCACCCGAAAGGGAGTCCTGATCGTATCCCTGGCTCCGTCTCAGGTTGTGGCAGGACGCGCAGACCCGGGCGATCCTGTCCGGCCTCCTCGAGAAGAGGCGCTCTGGCAGCGTGCGAATCTCTCCTCCCCTCCTCACTCGGCCTACTCGCATTTTCAATTCTTCTCTTGATTTGACCTGACGGCGGCACCTGATTGCAGGTCCCGAAGGTGCTATCGGTGGAGGACATGCTTAGGAACCTCGGATGCAAGTGAGTTTTCAGTTTTTTTGTAAGTGAATTTCGGTTGTTGTGTTACTTTTCTGCTTTGCTGACTCGAAATGCCGTGGTGACAAGAGCGATTGGAAGGAAAATTGTTGAGGCGGAGATGGACGTGACCAAGGCCAAGAGCAAGGGGTACCTGGCGGGGAACAGGACTGCAGCTGTCGACTCCGACAAGAAGCAGAAGCTTCTTGCTGTCATTGGTGTTTACACTGGGTTTGGCTCTCGTCTCAAGAGGAACGTCTTCCGTGGCTCCTGGATGCCAAGAGGTTTGCTGCTCTTGTTCTTTAAATTTCGCTAGTTCCTAGCGATAGAAATAATTTCCCTTGACAACACCAAGTAGTGGAAGAGACTGCTTGTGATACAAATCTTTACTAATTTGAGATTGGTAGATGAAGAGACTGCAAAATTATTTGATTTAAAATGCTGGATAAATATGGAGTGGCTAAAATTGTTTTGTGTAAACAAGGATTTTCTCCAACTCATAACTATAACTCTATTCTTCTATTTCACTGTGAATTGCAGGTGATGCTCTGAAGAAGCTTGAGGAAAAGAGTGTAGTTATTCGTTTTGTTATTGGTCGGAGGTTTTGTTCTGGATCTATACCTTTGAGTTATTGCATCGTTCTTAGTTCAGAATTTAACAATATTTTCATTCTCCTTTTCTCTTCTATTAGAAAAATATAATCCATTTCCCATCTCTCGTTTTATTGATTATGTGTACCTTTTTGGACCCGCAGTGCAAATCGAGGTGATAGCTTGGACCGTAATATTGACGATGAAAATCGGCAGACAAAGGACTTCTTGCTTCTTGTAAGGTCCTATTAGCTAGTATCTCATATTCTCAATTGTCCTTCACAAGTTGTAGTACGTAAGCAAGACTTTAGAGTTTAGACCTTTCTTGCTTCCATCAAAGACTAGGTTGGATCCATGTGATCATATACATTTTATCAATGAACTTTGAAACTGTAAGCATTTGGATTGGGCAGGAAAGTCATGAAGAGGCTGCAGAAGAATTACCGAGCAAAGCAAAGTTTTTCTTCAGTGCCGCAGTCGAAAGCTGGGATGCAGAATTCTATGTCAAAGTTGAGGATAACATTAATCTTGACTTAGGTATCTTTTTTCCTGTTCTCTGTGTATGCTGATATACAGTACTTCTATTGATCTTGCCCCTTCATTTTAAACTGTCCTCTTGCAATTATTCTGTCAGCTGGGTTAATTGAGATGCTCGAAGGCCGTCGAGGTAGCCAAGGATTGTATATGGGTTGTATGAAATCAGGGGTTGTCATAAACAAAAAGTATGTGTCTTTACTTAATCATCAGGTTTTTAATTTACTGATAGCCTAGCGCGTATGGTATCTCTATGACTCCAACTCCAAGCCATCTCATTTTTAAGTAGAAGTCTTTTTTTTTTGTTGATTCAGTAGAGATGCTTAATCCTTGCAAAGTTGTGCCATGTAGTGGAATGCACTGAGAAAATGTTTTAGCAACCTTTTGTAGTCAGTTCTTTTGACAGTTCAATCTAGTTAGCAAATAATTCTGATGAACAACTAATGCGTTATGTGCTACCACTGTACAGACGCGCAGCAAGAGTAAATTCGAGAAGGGTGCGCTTGTCTCGTGGGTGCGTAGATTGTTATTGTGAGGGTGCAGATATAGTGAAAATTTGGCTATAATCACTGTTTTTCTGTTTTTGCGTGGGTGTGTGGCATTTCATTTTGGATTTCTTTGCCTCTTGTTAGTCAGCTATCAAAGTGATTTTGATGTCAATGCCAGTTTTAGGTGGCAACAATGGTATGAGCCTGACTGGTGGAAATTCGGAGATTCAAAAACGTGAGTTAATTACCATCTTCTCATTCTCCTGAATTAGTTTATTCTTTTTCCTGTTAGTAGATACCATATTCTTGCTATAAGAGCATTCAAATACTAATTTACACCATGTTTGGAGGTTGGCAAGTAATAAAATGCTTGCTTGCTACTCAGAGGATACCCCCTGGGTAGATGAAGCATCTCCAATAGAGCTCATTCAATTTTTCACAACCATTAGTCGAGTGCAATAGGCAATTTCACCATAGATTCTAACCTTGTAACAAGAATTCAGTTATACTATCTTCTAGGGACTACAAGTTGCCTTTTTCACCTTACAATGTCCCTTCCGGTTTATTTTTAAATTTGAGAATGAAAAGCGTGGTAGATTGGGTATAATGCGTGGGATAGATTGATAGATTGCATTCTTAGCCTCTCTAGGTGGTATATATAGGCAGTGTTTAGTAACCTACGCTATCCTTGTCAGGCTTCCGCAATGCAACCTTTGAAGTGTTTGGTAGCCTGGTTGAGGCCCAGCGACACCTCTTAGCCAGGCTTAACAAAAACGCAAAGGGTGTCCATTTTTGCGGAGCCTGGCTTGGCTCGCGCAAACCTCACATCTTGACGCGGGTCCACACTTCCTCACCTCCCACCCTTCAGTCCTCGTCGCCCCACCTCCTGCTCCTCTGAGCGCTAAGTTGAGCTCCAACCTCCAAGAGCCGCCCCTTTGGTCTTCGCCACCACACCTCCCGCTCCTTCGAGTGCCGCGCCAAGCTCCAGGAGCGAGCCCTTCAGTCGTGGCCGTCGGACCTCTCGATCCGCCGAGCGTCACACCGAGCTCCAAGAGCACACCCCACACAGCTGCACCCCAACATCAAGCACTCACGACGACCAACGTGCACGGTAGCGACATGGTATACCTTTGTCACGACCGCTTCTTGGGCTCTCGCGGCGTGAACGGTATCGCGCGGCAGGGGCTCGCGCGACTGGGGCATGCGGCGCGGCGGCGGGGTCGCTCGACTAGCTCATGTAGTGAAGAAGATTGCAGTTGAGCATGCCCACCAACTGTTCGACAAAATGTCTCAAGAAGGTAAACTTACCAGCTCAAAGAAGAGGTGATTCTATGCAAAGCAAACCAGGCAACGAAACGCACCATTTGCTAGCCAGGCTTAGGCTTAGACTTAGGTAAAGCAGACAACCAAACAACTGGAGATTGGCTTGGTGGAAGCAGGCCTAGACTGTCGAGGCTTAGATGGCTAGCCAGGCCAAAAACAAGCCAGGAAACCAAACACACCCATAGAGTACAGAGACTTGGGGGGCAAGTTGCCTCCCCAGATACATATGGCAATGTTGAATACAATGCTAAACTACCAAATACACTCAAATATCCCTCTAAAGTTGTAGAGAGCATCACAGACAATAAGACTAGAGAAGAAATCGAAGACTAATCCACTTATTGTCGTAGCGATGTCGCATTGCAGATGTTGTGATTGGAGTGAAAACTGACGAGTAGCTTCGAACGATAGCCCGTTTTGTCAACGAAGTAGCCGAGGTCAAGGTGGATGTGGTCAGAGCTGTGGAGGGATCGAGGCACAGGTCCGAAGCATCAACATAGGCACGTGAGTACACATAATCACCAACTTCTTGACAATGACCGCAGCAGGACAATGAGCCGACCAAATGGTGAACGTAGATTGGGCTGCTTGGACGTATCAATAAGCGCTCACACATCATCCGTCAGTGACACTAGTGGTGATGTTCCGGAGGTGGCGGCAATAAGCACGGACTCGGATCCAGAGTTAGCTTGAGGAGGACTGACATCATGGGTGGTGCCAGCTTGGATAGGCGGACCATGAAGATAGTATGACCACGGGCAATATCATCGTTGCTTGGGAGGGCATGCAACGACAACCTCGATCTTGGGAGGGTCGACGATCCAATGTCGAGGAATCGGTAGATAGGGAAACACAACCCCAATCTTTGATTGAAAAAAAAAAACAGCAGCAACATCTAACCTGGCATGGTGAGCCATGATGTGACCCAAAAGGCAGTGTGGCATGGCCCAGCTGGCGGACAACAACCTATGGGGCACAACTCCTGCCGATGTTGTGGCCACGGCGTGGCGCAATTGGCGCAAGATGGTCACGTGATCCTACAATGCCCGTGGTAGATTAGCCTGACAACACAGAGTGGAGGATGCTTGCTGCTGGCCTGCTGCCGCCCCATGCTGATACACAGGGCAGATCAATTAGATCAGCCCAACCTAATTACAAGGGTGCTTACCCGGTAGAGATCGATCTCCCAGGGGTGGTGGCAATGGTGATGATAGCGGGAAGCCCGAGGCTTCAGGAACGAAACCTAAACTTGCGATACCATGAAAGCATAGTAGATACGAAATAATGCGTGGGATATATTGTATTGAGCCTCTCGGGCAGTATATAGAGTACAGAGACTTGGGGGGCAAATTGCCTCCCAGGCCCCAAATACATATGGCAATATCAAATTACAATCCTACACTATCAAAGATACTCTAACAAGCAGCGGCAGATCCAGAAAATATTTTAGGGGGGGCTGAACAACACTGCTGCTCGATCTTAAGTCTCAGCCCCCCCCTACATTATAGAACTTTGCCTAAAAATTTATAGGGGCTCTACAGTAATTTGCACTGTTTTGGGATGGGTAGGGGGGGCTTGAGCCCCCCCCCCCACCTGGATCCGCCCCTGCTAACAAGAGTGACACCAACTATTGGAACCACTACCCAGCACTTTCAGTTTCATCCCAATTGTTGCACTTGTTGTTATTCAGTAATATTCTTTGTTTTTTTCCTTGGTATAAGTACATACTTAACCTCTAGGGGCCGTTTTCTTGGGGTGGACTCATATGTGACAAGTTTCTAGGTTTTTTCGTTCAAGATGCAGTCTCTGTCATGCTTTTTTCATTTTCACCGACTGATTCACTTTATTTCATAAAAACAGGTATTTTCGACATGCTTCTGGTTCTTTGTTTATCCTCTCAAAAAATTTGGCACGCTACATCAACATAAATAGGTAAGTGATATGTCATTTGTGTTTCCCTGTTTCATCTTAACCAATACCAAGTTACACCGGCTTTGAGCAACACCATCCTAGTTAGCTAGAGTAATAGTATGTGCAACAGTCCCTGAGCTTTTGAATGTGCAGAACATCTTATGCTGATGCAGGAGTTGGATTACATCAGACTGAATGTGACATTTGGGCTGAATCTTTTGTGGTGGATGAGACAACTAATCTTTTTTTTCAACTTTAATTTCTTATATCTAAATCCCTATCGTATGTTGCCATGGTAGTTATCCAAATAATTATTACTGAATACCCGTTGGGTATGAATTATCAATGAGTCATTGAGTAGAATGCTATTTTAATTTACTTCCTAAAGAACACACATCATGTCATATTCTGTCAAAGGATAAATGTCACCGTTATCTTCAAGATGCAAGGACCAATTTTTTGTCTGGACAGAAGCTCTTCCTTTTTCTGGTGCTTTATTTCTGCCAACCAGGTCTTTCTTCACCTCAGCTTTGTCTTCTCTGTCACACAGTGCATCACTACAGAGTTATGCACACGACGACATATCAGTAGGTTCATGGATGATGGGACTGAATGCAACTTACGTGGACGATGACCGGTTGTGCTGCAGCAGTTCCAAAGGTACAAGCTTCTCTTAAATTAAAACAATGCATCAGCTTCTGGCAGTTCCAAGGAAACTTCCTTGTTTTTTTTTTGGGTGCTAATGCCATGTTTTTTAACCATCATTCCCAGAGAAAGTATGTTCTAATGCTTGAGTTGAGCGGAAGGCGTGGCTGTTGGCCTGTTGCTGCACATCCATCCTGATGAAGATTTTGTACATCTGTCATTTTGTATACATACACTGCTTTTGTGAACTGGAAAAAGGCTACTATCCAGATAGAATTGTCTTGCCCTATCATAATTCATACATAGTAAAAAAAAGAGCGTACCCAGTGCAGAGAGCTCCTGCTTTGTGCGGGTCTGGGGAAGAGTGTTAGTGGCAAGCCTTACTCTCTCCTGTGCAATGCGAAGAGACCGCGACTCGAACCCGGAACCTTCCGGTCACAGGCGGTAAGTCCCTATCGCTTGCACCAGTCCCGCCCTTCAATTCATACATAGTACTACCTAACCAAATTTTAGGAGAACCAGTTTTTTTCCAATCGTGAGTATTCTTGGAACTGATGTTGATTGAAGTTTTCCTCTTCGTGCTGAGCCTCTTCCTTGGAGCCAAACCACGTTTATCTGAGCCCTGAATAGCACGTCTATGAGTTGATGGCTCATGTTGGGCTTCAACTCTAGTGTACCCCTACTTACTTTGGACTAATAGGATGTTTGGTGTGAGGATGGGGAGTGATTCATCGTCTTCTCACTCCTTACATTTTTGTTTGGTTGGTGGAATTGAATGAGTTGATCCATCACAACTTCATCCCTCGCAAGCTAATAATTAGTGTAAGCACGAGGAATGGGGTCATTCTACCAAATTCATAGGTTGAACTAATGATGCAACTCATAGAAGGTTTTGTTGTTGTTCTAATAGTATTAGTAGCAGTTCCTATCTTGTTTTATAAGGATTATTACCTAAAAGAGGTGCTTCAAAACTGCCATTTATGTAGCATATATAGGTGCCCTCTGTTGGTCAATTAGAGTCTAGGAAACTGTAGGCTTTGTTAATTTGTCTTGATCCTAATACCAGCTTAAAAAAACAAAAAGGTCGTATAAATGGAAATAGAAACTAAGGAGACGTAACAAGTGATTACTCAGGGTAATACACTAATACTGATGATTTGTCCTTAAATGACCAGAGCTCAGTTTAGTTATCTGATATATCTGGTTTTTTTAGGGATTTATGTTAGAGTACGTCAGGGGCCTATTGGACCTGGGTTGGCTTTATAGCCCATTAGTGTTAGGGTTAATTAGAGATAAGGGTCGCTTACTTAATGGTCAAGTAAGCCTTGCTTGGGAGTCAAGTAAACCTCTCTATATAAGG